GACCCCTGCTATGGAGGAAATAAAGATCCTCACTTTTGACGATGCCTGAAATAAATCAGAAACAAAAGGGTTTCAGCTGAAACGAGACGAGAGCTTCTTTCCAGGACATTTTCTTCCTGATCTTGAAAACATGACAAGAATCAGGTTCTGTTCTCCACTTTACCTAATCCTGTAAACCCCAAAGGAAATATTCCTGCCCCTAAATAAAGCTCCCCTCCTCACACTAATCCTTTCCCTGCCGAAAAGAAAGAAGTATTGCTCACCATTACCAAAGGCAGAGTGAAATTGACTAGAGCCAGTGAAAATCCAGTCAGGAAAATCCATTGACTAAGGCAAAGATAATAATGAAATTACACAAAGTAACCAGGTGATAGGCACTTAATTCCATCAGCACTTCTCTGCTTGCTAATAAGAAACAACAGCGATTTCCAGCACCCTGCTGCCTGTAGAAAGCAAAGTGTTCCTTAAAAATAAATTGGCTTTTCCAACAAGTAACCGGTTTTCTTTATGTGGTCCCAAGACCCCAAGAGCAAATCAGAGAGTTTTAGAGTTTCTTGCCCCACCATTCAAAATGGTCATAAAAGATCTCCTTCTTTATTGTTTATTGTTCCTCTTTCTTTATAAGCTGGAAGCCAATTATTATGGTTTCAATGGAACGTGGTGTGATCTTCCTCCTCTTGTACTCAATCTTTCACATCCACAGTGCAAGGAAAGGATCTGAATTACACAACCGTCTTGGCCCAGGTACAGGCACACCTCTCTACATGGCCCAAAACTTCTCAAGCTTCACCCTTGAAAAGTGATGATAGGATTAAAATTTCGAATCTCTCAATATTTCCACCCTTAAAAAAATATATCACAGTGACTTATTGTAAAATAGTGAGTGTTCACCACACCGTTTCCTGGTGTTGCTGCCATCTTTCCCTCCCCTTGCCTCAACATAGGGAGGACTTAAGAGTTACTCATTTGGGTTAAGCTAATGACAAGGGATTGTGACCCTGAATCACCATAGTCCCAAGATAACCTTTCAATGCCAGTTAGTTCCTTGTCTGTGAGCCTTTATGGGATAGTTCAGTCGCCAACCAGTGGGCTGGGGACCATTGGTGGTCCATGAGAAAGTTTTGGTGGTCCGCAGAGAAATATCCCCCCAAAGCATTTTCCCCAAAGCAATTAATCCAGGCTACATGGGAACACAAGGCTGCGTCGCCCATATGGCCCACCCACCCGCTGGCGCCCACCCTTCAGCCGAGCACAAACCTTACCTTGAGTAGAGCCACACGAGCTGGAATTGGAAGGTAAAACCAATGGCGGTGGAGAGAAATCCGCCCCGGGGTGGTTTGCTGACATTGGTGGGAAAGTCGGTCCCATATTCCAGAGCTGCAGTAGTCACAGAACTGGCCTTTTGGTCATCCCGAAGCAGCTCCTCCAGTCCATAACAGGCCGGTGCACCCGGGTAGAGGAGCAGCTGCTCTGGATGACCAAAGGGCCACTCTTGTAACTACTGCAGCTCTGAAATATGGGACCGACTTTCCCACCAATGTCAGCAAGCCACCATCAGTCAAAATTCATATTAGTGGTCCGTGGGATTTAAAATTATGAGTTTGGTGGTCCCTGAGGTCCAAAAGGTTGGCGACCCCTGGTTCAGAGGACAAGCTATATCGGCCAAGACCTCTAGGACCTTCCCTTGGTATCTCAACTTAAAAAGGGTGAGGAATGTGTGGAGACTTGCTTAAAACCCTGGAGCGCTATTCACCACTGCAGATCAAATCAGGCAAAGGATTTGTCCTGCTAAAAATGGTTTTAAATGCCAGTGTCTTTTACTTGCAGATTTTATTTTAACCACTCGTGTTAGTGATAAAATTCACAAGGTGCAGGAGACCAGATCTGATTAGATGGATGACCTTTATTTAAGTCATCTCTCCCAATTTAATGCCTGTCTGGTAGAGAGAAGACTTTTAGTCCGAGGAGCTCAAGAGAACCAGTATGGACAGGGTTTCATAACTTTCATAAAATTCCATTCCTCAAAGAGATATTTTTTTTAAATCCTAAGAGCTTATTCCCAAAGATCTACATTAGAATAGACTGGTTACATCACTTAACATTTTGTGCCTGGAAGAATCAGCAATATAATTATAGACAATGATGGAATGCCAGATTAAGAGGAGCAATAAATGTTGTTGTACTGTATGGATAAAAGCCGGGGTGGGATTGATCCAGATTTAGAGTCTTGCTTTCCTTGCAACGATTCTACAGGCTGTTCATTAGATGCAAAGTAATACTTGAAGACTGCATGGATGGGACCAAGGAACAAGCTGCCCCTGAACATATATTCAGTCTGGGGGGAATTAATTGCATTCCAAAACTAAATTGAAAGAGCTTTCATGATAGTTTGACGTTTTTGTTGCCATTGTGAAACCACTGGGAGCAGAAAGCCTTTGACAAGCCATTGAAATTCTCTAAGAGATCTACCAACACATCTAGATGGAACATGAAATTATAGGGGGGGGGGGAACCTAACCCCAAAAATAGGATCCTTAAATGAAAGGATAAAGTATTTGAAATTGGCACAGGAAACAGCTGAATTTTTTTTAAAAAAAACCATATACAGACCTTAATTATACACACGGCTGTATTGCATTTTCATCAATGGCTTAGTTCCCAGGGTACATTGCAGAATGCTTTGCATTGGTTTCCATGGAAATATTACCAGCGATAATTAATTAGTTTCTTATTCAATGATACCCACTGAAACCACGAATAAAAGTAAAAATAAACACTCAGGATAATGATGTCTATAACCATATAATAACAGCAACATGTTAAGATCAGGCTATGCAGCCACTACGTTTTTCTTTGTCTTTTGCATTCTACTTCCTTGCAATGATCAAAAAGATGTCTCTGGAAAAACAGCAAGTAAAAACTGAAAACAAAAGCCTTCTCCTATAGCAGAGGTTTCCAAACTTGGCAACTTTAAGACTTGTGGACTTCAACTCCCAGAATTCTCCAGCCAGCTGTGCCCTTGTCCTATAGCTATGCTCCAATTTTTGATACTCAGTAATTGCTTTGGATGCAAGTGAAAAGATGGATTACAGATCAAATAATTATCTTCTAGCTATGGAGATTCCACAGTCCTCATGGAGATACCGTCTTTCTTGTCTAATTTAAGTTTTAAAATGACATAATAGACACCAGCCCTTGTGGCAACGAATTCCATAGAGCGGTATTTCTTGGCAGCTTGTGGAAGATGTATGGATTTCAACTTCCAGAATTCCCCAGCCAGGATTATATGAGGATTTTTTAAAATTGTTTTGTGGCCTTCCCGAAGATACCAACCAGAAATAGGCGGTCATTGCAATAACTAGGTTTTTTCCCTTTAATTCTCAGCAAGTTGTTGACAGTATCTCTTGAATTGAGAGGCTGTACCTCTGTATGCCCATTTGATCCTAATAATTATAAATAATTAAAAAAGCTCAGCATTGCCAGGAAAGAAAAAGAGGAGAAAAAAATATTCCCTTGATGATTTCAAACCTCTCCAGACATACTATTTGATTTATTCAGTTCACTAAGGTGCTTTTTTTTTTTGCCAGAAAGGCAAATTTCTAAGAAGAGACTTTATAATTTTTTTCCTGACAAATTAATCTTTACAGTTCTAATACCAAAAAATAATAGGAATATAAACTTTAGCCAATAGTTGTTTTTGCTGCTAAGGGAAAAACAGTAATTAAAGTTTCCTGTGCAGAGAACAGGAAAAGATTAATTGATCACAACGTAGGCATGATATAGTGAGCAGGAAGCAAGTAATTAAGCAATTTCAAAGAAAGGAATAAGGTAGATTAATGAAAGACCAATTGCAGAGAGAAGGAGAATTTCCTGAACACCTTTCGGGTTTGTTAGGATGAGATTTTGCCTATGCAGGTTGGAAATGCTGTTAAATTAAGTACTTTCTGTGACTACTGTTCTTGTTCTTCTAGCTGATTAATGGGAAAGCAATTCCTGAGTGATGCTGGAGGTACACTCCTAAAGCTTGGAAAGGTTGGCCAATTTATGCAAATGAAGGCCAAGAAACATAACTTTTAGAAGTGGAGTTTATTCTAGCATCTTGACAGACAAGTTCTGGTACATGCTTTGGTTAAAAAGAGAAGAAAAAATATGTTGACATAAATTACTTTTGACAAAGTGCGTTTTTAATGAAAGAAGGGGGGGAGAAAAATATAAACCCTTCCAAAAATATTTGGGATTTCATTTTGGAGCCCCATTCAGTAGATTTTGATAATTCTCTATCCTGCACATTCAGTGGATAGTGGATGGCATTATATTCATTTGTTTGTTTGTAAACCCACTGCTCTCCCTCCATCCCGTTTCTTGCAATCAAGACACTGTTCATTGTTTGGCTCCATTTACGAGCTGAAGACTTTTAATTTTCAAAAGCATGACCAAAAAAATATTGGTGAGTCATTGATGAAAATATTGTGTACTAGAGTAGGCAATGTGACGTCCTTGAGCATGAGCATCCCCACAGATGATGTTCTTGATACTCACTAAGTTCCCTAACCTATCTGATTTTAATAATGATAAAAAATTAAATGGCAAGCTGTCATGTTCAAGGCACCACCAGCCTTCACCCAAGTATCAATTTACACGAACACTTCTAGACCTCTTATTGGTATCTTTAGAAAATCAAAATTGACATTTGAGCAAGTGATGTTGATACTTTCTTGGTATTGTAACACTGCACACAAAAATGTAAGTGACAGAGTTGACATTATGATCCACGTTTCGTCATCCTTTTGGTGGATGCCTATATTCCAGCCATCCCTATCTTCCACTTGGATTAATGCCCTTCAAAACTAGCAAGTAACAGCATTTGCAAGCATGAGCACGAATGTGTGTCTGAATCAGAGGCCTCTTTCTGAAGCAAAATTGGCAACCTTTTGGCATATATAGGCTTTAGAGAGCAACAGTGGTGAATAGCTTGATGAAACCACGATTTCCAGGCTATTTAAGACAAGTTGTTTCTGGTTTTACTAAGATAAGTTTAAACAAACCTTGAGCATCTTTTTGGTATTTTCTCTCCAAACATTCAGGAGGAATTCATGGTCCTGTATTTCAGTGTCACACTTTCTGGGGACTGCAATAAAAGAGGGCTTGAGACCCATATGGGGGTGTGTGTGTGTGTGTGTGTCATAGACTTAAAATGCCCTTCTCTGGCTGAAAAGATGTTAGGATGAATTAATCTTATGCTTCTTCCTAACATCAGCTTATGCTCTTAAGCATTGGATAAGAGTAGCATTACTTTGAATATTTTTAAAAAAATCTGGATATCATTGCTTGCCTAACTGTCATCTTCCTGGGATTTCTTTTTGATACTGGTAATGCTATTAATTGAAAGGTTTAATAGTGTTTTTTCCATTTTCTCCAAATTGGTTCCACTCCCTCCCCCCACTGAAAAGTATTCTGGGAATACACGTCAAGGTTACCGCACAATAGAAAATCCCTAGAAGCATCTTGGATGGATGGGATTCCCAGGCTGGGCTTGTTATTGAAACCCAGGCATCTTAAAGTCTTGGTATCTAGTTTAGAAACAGGTGTAACATCTGGAGTGCTTCAGATTAGTATTTTCTTATGCAAATTGCTCACTTTTAAGTAACAAGGTGGCTAGTCTAGTTAAGGTGGCAATGAGTGAACCTTTGGGAGGCTTGAAAGAACAAGGCAGGGATACATTGTCATGGAGAAAGTCTATGTGGTCCCTAAAAGTCAAAAATGACACACAATTCACCAAATATTACAGGGGATCAGATGATATGTCTTCCAGTTGTAGCCTCCTTGCTTCTTTCTACTGTCATTGCCACATTTTTTTTCTTATTATCAAAACGTTGTCCAGAAGGAATGATTCACAATTTTCCCCCCATTGTTGGTGATAGGAACAACCTGTCTTTCTGCACTCCCAAAATGCCCTTACACTGCAATTCTGTACTCTTTTCTTGGGTATTAAATTCCCTTGAATTTATTATTCTGGGTAGATATATACAAGATGCCATTTGTAATAAATAATATGAACATTCAAATCTTTGCAACTGTCAAACCCTTTCTTACATTAAAGGAAAGTTATCAGTTCTTGCTATATATATAATACAGAAGTTATACAAAGTGTGTGATCTTACAATTTTGAGAGTCTCCATAAACTTTATTTACTAACTTGAAAAACCTCCTACACTCTTCGTATTTTCTCCCAGAAATGAGTTGAAGATATGCTTACAGGTCACTACTACAGCATCCACCAACATGAGAGTCCAATGTAACCCATTAGAAATAATTAGGTACTGAGGGGAGGATTTTCCTAAAGTTTAGTGATATTGATCCTTCACATTTGCAGCTATCTGCCCTAAAAGATATTGTTAGAATAATCCTGGTATTACCTTTGTCTGTATGGGAATGGTTTCTTATACTGGAGATGATTGACAAGCAGAGAGTATTCCTGTTGTACAAATGACCAATTCATTAGTTAGACTCATAATGACCATTTAAGTGTAACTTACGTCTTCTGTTACTTTCATATTTCAAACCAGAGTGGAAGAGAGCATAGTATTTTGACAATTAACTAAAATGAAAGGCCCATCAAATATGTTGTCTCAAATTCAGATTTGATAACTTATGGCATATGGCTTCCTCAATTGGTAAACAGGTTGACATTTTGCTGATGTTCAACCAATGTAGTCAATGCTCAGATCCATTGACACCTAGATGATGTTTAGTTCAATCTTCCATGCATTTATTTAGAAGTAACTTCCACTTTATTCAGCTGACTTTGTAAGAAGAGAGGTGTGTGAGTCTATGTTAGCCAAAAACCGGAAGAGATCTGGCGGCGCCTTTTCCAACTAACCAATTTTATTAAAAGGTCCAAGTATTTGTGATCATCTCATTTCATCAGATCATTATGATAGAGTGAGATGCAGCGACTGAAAGCTTATGCCTTTTAACATAATTAATTAGTTGGCAAAGATGCTACCAGACTCCTTCTGATCTATTCAGTTGAGATTCCCAAGCAAATGTTCATTAAAAAATTTCTTTCTCAAATGAATTCAGAGCAAGCACTGCCATTTTGCCATCAGTAAAGGTGCTGGAGGTCACACTCTTTGCACTTTACTGGGTGATGTGGAATTATTGTGAGAATCTTTCCCAACAGTCCAGGTTCATGTTTTTCAGTGAGCACATAACACACATAAGGAAAAATAGCTTTGCTTTGGGCTTGGCTCCAAAAGATTCCCCAGACAGAACTAGGCTGAGAAATAGCTGATAGGCCCTTAGGAAGAAATCCAATTTTGATTAACCTAAAAGGACTGAGTGGAAAAATCCAAGCACAAGTTGACCCTTTGGCCATCAGCCCAAGCTGTGTTTGCAAAAATACAGAATTGTTATCACAAGCTGCCTTTTCCCCACAATTGTATGCCAAGCACATATTGATGAAAGCAGAAGGAAATAATATGTGTTCTCTCCAGAGGGTAGAAAAAAGGGACCCTTTGTTCATGTACTTTTTAACAATGTTTCTGTGCTTCAGGTTTAAAGTATAAGAAATATACCAGATATCTTCCTTGATGAAGACCGGTTTAGCTTTCTTCTTGAAGTTTTATCAATCCTACTTGCCAGAGAAACCAGGGAACCCTTTCTCTGCAAGGGATAATATCAATCTGCTCCAGTAATCGAACACATTTAGAAAAAAAAGGCATTACTTCTTCCTCAATTTTCCTCAATGTTGCACTTTCCCATAACCTAGTCTGTCCCCTTTTCTTACCAACCTTTCCATAAATCAAACGGTATGACACACATGCAAAATGAGAGGTGACATGTCTGAAAGCATCAGGAGTTTACATTGAGCCTATTAGTCACAGACAGCAACTCCATGGGATCATAGACCACAGGTTTCTCTGGAGACAAAGGAAGGGAAGGGAACTGCTATCAGTCAGGCTTAAAACACATATTGGTTACTGAGACAGATTCTTCCGCACCCAGTGTTCCCACTGTTACTCAAAGTGGGACAAGGTGGGTCATTTCGACTGATGTTGCCGTACAGCTTCGACTTCTTCTTTAACATAAATCCAAAAAACAGTGACATTTCATCTGAAATGGTTATTGGCTGAGGATCATAGTCAAAACATTTAGGTTTAAAGAAAACCAGAATTCATACCCCTCCCTAGCCCCTTCTGTTCCCAGAGTCTCATGCAAAAGGTATCAGAACCAAAAGATGCTGGGCAACCATCATGTCGCTTGGATCAGCTCCCACTGTTGACCCAGAATATCCGACTGACAGATGTTGGTCACTAATCTGCTGGACTCATTTTCTAAGCAAAGGCCACTGACAAAATGTTGGATGAAGCTACCTTTCATCTTCCATTTCTGCAAGGGGGAAAGAAGAAAAGAAAAACAAGAGCATATGAAACGTGTCCTCCTCTTCTTTCCTTTCTTTCCCGTTTTTTCTCTTTGTCTCCAAATACCTATTTACAGCAATAATTTAGCAAAATTTTTCAATTTCTTCATTAACACAGATTACCATTTTATAGTTTGATTAGGTCTTTTTCTAATCTCAGGGCTTTGGCTAATCTTCATAAGCTAAGCCAGTCAGAAAATTGGTTAATGTTTGGATGTCAGACTACCAGGAAACTCCAATTGGGAATTTGAATTTTTTTTAAAAAAAAACCCACTTATATTTAAGACCACAAAGACAAACCCACTCCCATATCATGAGCAGAAGCAATATATATATATTGAACCACTGACATTAGATTGCTTTTGCTCTTTGTTTCTTCTTCTGTTCTTCTGTTTTTCGTGAGCTGTCACACTGTTACATATACCTTAGTATCAGTTATCCAACTCAGAGGTGGTATTCAGCAGGTTCTGACCAGTTCTGGAGAACCGGTAGCGGAAATTTTGAGTAATTCAGAATACCACCTCTGACTGGCCCTGCCTCCATCTCTTCTCTGCCTCCCGAGTCCCAGCTGATCGGCTGGATCTTCTTTTGTTGCCCTGCACAGGATAACAGAGCTGGAAAGCAGGTTAGTGGGGTGGGGAGGGGGGAAGAGAGAGAGAATGGGGATTTTACAGTATCCTTCCCCCAGGAGTGGGGAGGGAATGGGGATTTTACAGTATCTTTCCCTGCCGCACCCACCAAGCCACACCACGCCTACCAAGCCATGCCCACAGAATCTGTAGTAATTTTTTTTGAATCCCACCACTGATCCAACTGTATTGTTTATAATACAACTGTAATATAATTGTATTGCAGCTAGGGCAGATCCTTTGGAGTATAAAGGCACATATGGGAACATAGAAGGAGGGAAAACATCTGTAGATTCCCTTGGAAATTTCAATAATGAGGTAACATGTCCTCCTTTTAATAATTGGATATCTATACAAGAACGCACTTTCCTCACCAATCTTGATAACTATGCAGGGGTGGGATTCTACAGGTTCGCACCTATTTGCTAGAACTGGTTGTTAACAGCATAAGCAGTTTGGAGAACCGGTTGTTAGAAGAAATTACTGGCCTAATCCTGTAATGAAGGCAGGAAGGAAACATTCTGGTGTTGCTTACAGAAACTGCCTCTCCGTTAACCCTTATTACATTCTTGGCAGGACTAGACTTCCTGTCTCTGGAACCTCTCTGGAGTTTCTTTCCCCTCCTTTGCTCGTACTTTGCTTGTGTGGGGTGACCATTCAAAGTTACAATGGCACTGAAAAAAGTGATATGACCGTTTTTCACACTTACAACTGTTGCAGCATCCCCACAGCCACGAGAGGCCAGGCGAGGAGATGCGTGCCTCGATGTGAGTGATATTGAGTTGGCCACACCCAGCCAATAACATGACCACCAAGCCACATCCACCCAGTCACATGACCAAGCCACGCCCACCACCTAAGCCACGCCCACAGAACAGTTGTTAAAAATTTTGAATTCCACCCCTGTAACTATGGCTGAGTCTCCAGAAAGTTATCAGATAGTGGCAGAGCTCCAAGTATATGTTGCGCTAGAGAAACCCGATTGCCTGAATCTTTTCAGTCAGGATTGTTGCCAGGGTAGAGTAGGGAATTGTTTGGATTTCTCTGGTAGATAACATGTATTATTTTAAGCACCAACACCCAGGATTCCTTCTGGATCATTTTCAAGGTGGAGCACTGATCTTAGTTGTTCTATTTCTTCCTGAGTGGGCAATAGCAATAGGGGAGAAAAGGAGGTCACTTGTGGGGTGCCTCAAGGTGCCACCATATTCTTTTACACTGATGTAAAGCCATGCGGAAGACATTCATTGAATCACAATTATGCCTAATTATAAATCAGTTCCCAGTATGATACAGATATACTGGGAGTCCCGGCCTGGAGCTTGGAAGCTGCTAAACTCTGAAATCAAATTCCTGTAAGATTAAAGCGCTGTTGCCCAGAAACCATCTGGCATTGTACTATTCTGGATTGGGAAGCCCATCTTAAAGTACCAAAACTGCCTTAGAGGTCCTCCTACAGGTACTACTAGTGTGGAAGATCTTTGACCAGAGGTGGTATTCAGCAGGTTCTGACCAGTTCTGGAGAAACAGTAGCGGAAATTTTGAGTAGTTCAGAGAACTGGCAAATACCAGCTCTGACTGGATATTTTACAGTATCCTTCCCCTGCCACACCCACCAAGCCACACCCACAGAACTGGTAGCAAAAAAAATTTGAATCCCACCACTGTCTTTGACTAATTTTCACTGGTATACCAGTTGCATCTCTTCCTGAAGCATGATGCCCTGGGAGCTATTACCACATAACCTCTTACCTATATTACCACAATGTGTTGAATACGATTCTATATTTCAAATAAGATTTACATCTGATCCAATTGGCCTCTTGGAAACTTCACACAGAAACCACCATCCAGTTCATTCATCCCAAATGGGTAGGCGAGACTGTTCCCTATGTAAGACTGAAGATGTGTGTGTGGGGGAGAGTAATATGCTTTTTTTAAAATGCTCTTTTATTATGGAATAGGTTACCTCCAGCGGTTTGAAGGGATGTTCTGAGAATTTTTTAATGTGTGAAGAACTCTGCTTTTTTCTGGCATATTTGAGGTCCCATTCTATCCCACATTTCTGAGTTTTTTTGGTGACCTCTCACTCAAATAATAAGCATCTTTGACATGCTTCATTTGGGGGGGGGGATTAGGTGTTGCTGTCTGCTGTTGGTGCCTGCTGCAGTTCTACTTAAGTTTCTCAAAATTAATGCTAACCTAGCTTTAGCCAATTAGCATACAAAAAAGTATAGTAACTGACATTAACACAGTAGACTGTTTCTATGGTTGTGATTCAACTCACTTGTATAAATCAGTCTATGAGTAATCACTATCTGAAGTCTGCAGCTATTTTATTGATCTGAGAAAAGGCAACAGAAAAGAGAAGAAGTGCACAGGTAATTTCTGTGTAACCACCGGAGATTACTTAACTGTTTCATCTGCCCTGTGACTTTACCTAAATCGTATGTTATGTGAAATTGTATGTTATGTGAAATGGAGACCTGAAACAGACACCCAACCCCTTCTGCCCTAGACAGCTGGCTTCATATTTCACTCGTCCTACGTGTTTGGAAGTCGGCTAATATAGCATAATGAAACTTTACAATAAACAGCAATCACAGTATTAGATTGGGGAGGACGAAATTCCAAAGTGCAACTTGTGTGGCATCTTGTCACTAAAGAAGATGAGAGTGTTCTGTAGCTGAATGGTTAAACATCCACTTCTCTGCAGGGCCTCCTTCCTCTATCATCTTCTTTAGCAAGACAAAAGATGCTTTATGACAACATGCTCTCAAATCCCACAGGTATAACATTGATTCTTGTCTCATCTGCTTGGCTGACAAAGGCAACGAGAGACAAATGGGGAGCTTCTATTGAATGGGTGGGATTCATAGGCTGATAGAGCGCATGCAAGGAGCAAATAGCGCTGTTCAATTGATCTAAACCTTTTTTTTTTTTACATTAATGCTAGCGCACAGTAAGTATTCCTCTAAAGTCAGGTTTGTCAAACTCGATTTCATTGAGGGCCGCATCAGGATTATGTTTGACCTGGGGTGTGTGGATGGGCATGGCCAGGGTAGGTGTGGCCAGGGTGGGCGTGGCCAGCTTGACATCACTCATGTCAGGGGGCACCTGTGGTGGCCAGGGTAAGGCTGTGGGGGATCCTCCTGCCAGTGAAAATGGCAGCCCTCTGCCAGTGAAAATGGAGGCTGCACACAGCCCTCCCAAACTCTGTTTTCATTGGCAGAGGCACCATAGGCTGGTTCTTTGCTATTTCCAGGGCAGCCCCATGGGCCAGATCTAAGCACCGCAGTCCTAAGTCAATCTTCTCAGGCTAGCATCTAAGCTGTTTTAGACTATCAAGGTCTCTGACTCTGGCTGCAAATATGCAGATATTAAATTTTATAAATATCTAATTCAAGGGCCCTTATCAGCTTTTGTCATTAATCCTTTTTTTGAGGAATAAAAGAGCTGTACCTGCTTATTCACTTCTCCATGACATTGTTTTAGTAGCAGCAATTAGCACCAGTCCACCGTCATATTACAGAATCTTTCAATGGCCAAAACAGCACTTGTTCTGCACCCTTTGAAATAAAACACACACCCCAAAATGCTTCAGACTCAGGTGCTACTGCTCTTGCATCTTGAGAGAAGCCTCTACTTGAGCCTGACAAAAAACGTTGTGGCTTCTTTAAGGAATCCACTCATTAAAGTTGAAGTTACATTGCGTGCTCTATGGACATAAAAGCAGGATATTAACCAAATATATGAACCAGGAATAAATAGCAACGACAGCAGAAAAGAATGATGTGATCTCAGCTGCTGTAGATGGGGTAGAGTGTGTGCAGACCTTTCCAAAATTTGGAAATAACACAATTTATATGTATAATTTTATATATACAGGTAATCCTAGACTAACAACCACAATTGAGACCAACATTTATGTTGTTAAGTGAGACATTTGTTGTGGGTTTTGCCCCATTTACGACCTTTCTTGCCCCAGTTAAGTGATTCACTGAAGTTGTTAAGCTAGTGACCTAGTTGTTAAGTGAATCTGGCTTTCCCATTGACTATGCTTGTCAGAAGGTCGCAAAAGGGGATCACATGAACCCAGGACACTGCAACTGTCATAAATATGAACCAGTTGCCAAGTGGTTGAATTTTGATCACATGACCTCAGCGACACTACAAGGGTTGTGTGAAACACAGATATAAGCCACTTTTTTCAATGCTGTTGTAACTTTGAACAGTCACTAAACGAACTGTTGCAAATTGAGGACTGCCTTAGATTATTTATTATAAATACCATTATAAATATATGTACAATTTATATGTATACATTATACCCCTCATCT